CACGAAATTTGGCGGCTGGGATTAATCCGAACAATTCCTCAGAGCACTCCCCGTGATAGATGCGATAAAATACGCAAAGAGATGCAACATCTCTTCGCAGCGCCAGTGAATCGAGCCGATCGGAAAGCACTCGGTCGTCAACGATTCGAGCCGCTCTGCGCTGGATGCGGTCAAGTGGAAGAAGCTGGTACTGGGGAGCCCCAGCCCAGAGATGGGAACAGTATTCCATGAGCGGCCGAACCTGCGCCTTGTAAAGTTGCAGGCGGTGTGCCGGCAACTTTACAAGGCGCAGTATTTCATTACTGTCCCGCTCTGCTGAGCACGCCAAGCTTTTTAGAGGCCAATTTGGCCTTCCCTTCCAAGTGACCACGAAACTGCACGTCACTCGATATGTCGACGCCGAGGATTCCGATACTGGCTGAGGCAACAAGGGGAGTGCCTTGAAACTGAGGGGATACGACAAAGGGGTTCTTTTAGCGGTTAACGCGCAAACTTGTGTCTTCTGGGGGTTAAACTGGACTAGATTTAGTCGCCCCCAATCCGAGACTCTGTCCAGCAGAGACTCGACTTCAGACACAAGTTTGTCCCGGCACTCAGAGACGTTTTCCCGAGAAATATTGGCTCGGCCGGTGTAAAGAGCATCACCAGTGCTGTCATCTGCATAGCAATGAATGCTACGGGTTTGCAACATATCATTGATATTCAGAAGAAACAGCGTTGGCGATAGCACGCAGCCCTGTGGAACACCAGCATTAATAAGCTTGCAATCGGAGCTTGCACCGTCTACAACGACCTTGATGCTCCGATCTGCAAGAAAACTGGTGATCCAATCGCACAATTTCTCGGAAAGCCCATAGGAAGGGAGCTTCGAAAGAAGCGCTTTGTGCCAAACCCGATCGAAGGCCTTCGCAATGTCCAAACTAACGGCCAATGCCTCCCCCTTGGACTCTACTGCCTCCGCCCATCTGTGAGTTAGGTAGACCAGAAGATCACCAGCTGACCGACCACGGCGAAAACCGTATTGGCGGTCACTAATCAGCTGGTGATCCTCAAGGTACCTCATGAGCTGGCAGTTTACAATGGACTCCATTGTTTTGGAGAACAAGGAGGTGATGGCGATAGGCCGGTAGTTGGACGGGTCTGAGCGGTCGCCTTTTTTAGGGATCGGGTGGACGAAAGCCGTCTTCCATGATTTTGGGACTACGCCTAGGGAGTAGGAGTACCGGAAAAGACGCGTTAAAACCGGTGCCAACTCTGGAGCACACGTCCTCAGCACAATTGGGGGGATTCCATCAGGCCCACTCGACTTATGGATGTCCAGGGAGAGGAGTGCTTTGCGAACCGAGCGCTGAGTGAACTGCACTTCCGGCATGGAGCACTCACACCGCGGGATGGTCGGCGGCGTACTCCCCCCGTCATCGAGAGTCGAGTTAGACGCAAAGAAAGAGCCTAGAAGATCGGCTTTCTCCTTTGCGGTGTGGGCCAGTGAGTCGTCCTCCCTGTGCAGAGATGGAAGAGATGGCTGACAGAAATTCCCCTGGACAGCCTTGGCGAGAGACCAGAATGCACGGGTTCCAGAAGGAAGACGAACTAGTCTCTCGCCAATTCTGCCTATGTGCTCTGACTTTGCCTTGGCAATGACTCTTTTGAAGGACCTAGAGGCGGAATTATACTTCTTTTTTAGAGCGCTGGTGTTTACATCCCTGGACGCTGATGCGTCAGCCCAGGCTCGGTAGCACTCCTGCTTATAACATGATGCTATTTTACAGGAGCGACCAAACCATGGCTGAGATTTGCCTCCAATGGGCACCACAGAGGAAGGAATAAAAAGTTCCATACCCTGAAGTACCACATCAGCGACAGAATCCGCAACAACGTTGGGATCATCCGACGAGAAGCAAACCCGCCCCCAAGGGTAGGATGCAAAGAAAGACCGCATCCCATCCCAATCGGCTGACCTATAGTGCCAAACACGGCGGCAGCCTGCAGAATGCAACCGCGATTTCAGCGTGAGTGGCACCACACTCCGGACAAGACAATGGTCCGAGGAGCCTAAAGGGGCGTCAACGGAAATCTGATATCCGTCCGGGTGAGAGGTCAGCAGAAGGTCCAACAGGGAAGGTGCATGATCCTCCACATCTGGAATCCGTGTAGGCGAAGTAACCAGTTGTTTCAGACCATATGCCAAGGCAAAATCATGAACAGATCTTCCCGCATGATCGGTTAAACGTGAACCGAGCCATTCGGCGTGATGGGCGTTAAAGTCGCCGAGGATCACGATCTCTGCGGAGGGGATCTGCTGTAGCAACGAATCTGCAGCCATTTGGACGTGGTCGAAGAGTCGGTCTGTTTCGGCATTACCGCTATGGGACCTATAGAGGCACCCGTAGACGCGCGGATGGTCGTCGCTGTCTACGCGTAGCCAAAGGATGGACAGGTCCGAACCTTCAAGTCTGCCGAGGCGTCGAGAACAGATGTCCTCTCTGACGTAAACGCAAACTCCAGCCCGAGGCACAAAGGAGTGTTCCAGTTTGTACCCCGGGCAGGAGAGATACGAGACATCAGCCGGAGAGGACACCTGCGTCTCGGTCAGAAAGAGCAGAGCCGGCCTCGCCGTCTCGAGATGGTAGTGGACGGCGTTTAGGTTAGAGTGAAGTCCCCTGATATTGCAGAAATTCACGGACACCGTGGCAGGGGTCGCCTTGGTCTTGTTGCTCCGTTTGCCCCGAGCAGTTTTAGTCTTGAGCGGAATATTGCCCCCCCCAGAATACGCGGGGCAGCCTGAGCACCCACGCTCAGAAGTGGAGAAACATGGTCGTGGATGCTCAGCGAGGGATTCTCCAGGGGTGCTGGTACCCTCCTGGGGTAGTCTATCATTTAATTCCGCTACCATGGCGCTGGGGGGGGGGGATTTGGGCCTACGGCCACCTGCACTCACCAGACGAAACGCGGAAGCAGAGCTTCCACTTCACGCCGGTATTCTGTGAGGTCGTGGTACCACCCCGGTTTGAGTCGGCCCATACGTGCGACAGCAAAGCTGCCGCGTGGCTCTACCACTGTTAAAGTCTGCCGAGTGCCGAAGTCTGCCGAACTGAAATGACGTTAGACGATGCGCGGCTTTCAACGCCATACCTCCGTGCCCGTCGGAGTGGGGAGCGTGAGGTTTTTTTTTTCGTTACGGAATTTCTGGATTCGGACCCCGCGCTCAAGGCCCGCGATAGAAGCTATGCAATAGCTTAAAAACCTTTTTGTGTATTTAGTTTGGTAATAAGTCGAGAGTTACATTTATAATTGATATTCCGTCGCAATTCACACACCCAATAATATTTATTACCATTTTCTCGATTTTGCTCATATATGAAAAAAATCACATTAAATTTGATTCCGCCTCTTTTAGTTATAAGGGTATGCACTTATTTTCCATTTGTAGGTAACTACAATTTACTTTATTTAAAGAATTAAATTAAAACTTCGAAATAATACACTCCGTGACACAATATTTTATGATACTGTCTACTGCGTACTTAGAAAAATTAAAAAATAATTTGTTCTACTACCAATGTAAAGTGCCTACGAATTTCATTAATGCAATATTGTATAAAAATGTGTTTTAGTGTCTAATATTTTACAAGTAAATTTTTATGTGTATTTTTATGCCTAATAAAATTATATTTTAATATCTTTATGCGTAAATATTTTTATGTTTTAGACAGTTATGATTGATTATTATTATGATTGGTGCAATTATGTTTAAAAAATTATTTTTAAGCTATTAGGATAAACAATTGTATGCTATGTTATTTTATGCCATATAATTTTATGCAAATGGATAGGTATCCTCTTAATTTACCAGCATTTCGTTTTAGCTCACCTCTCATACGAGACCTGTCTAGACAACAGTGCAGCAGTTTTAGGGTGAGATGTTATGCCACTGACGCCACCAGGGCCATTAGGCCTCTTTAACCTTTAATTGCACGAAGCTTTGTACACTTGAATCGAATTCAGTTACTAGAATAAAAATTATTTAATTTCGTAATTGTAAAACGTACAAAAATAGTATAAACTATTAGCACTCTGAAATTAATTTGATACCTATTTTGTAGTAAACCTTGCTATTTTGTATTATTTATAGTGGTTCCTTCTCCGCTGACTTTCCTTTTCTAGTATATATATTTCATGTAGCTTTATGTCCTTTGTTTAACAAATAAACTCGAATAAAATTCAAATGAAAAGAGAAATATATCCGAAATTATACGCTTGTAATAACAATAACGATATTTTTCCGATTTTAACAGTGTAATTATATAAATTTTGCAAATTTTCGACGTAAACCGCTTTTCTTTAAATTTTAGTGGTGGCGAAAATGAAACCCTTTTTGATGTTACACCACCTATAAATACCAAAAAATAATCCCCGAATCAACAACTTTCATTATAGTTAATGCACAATTCTAATATATGAAATAGAAGTTACCAGAAATTTCGTTTTCGTCGCACCACAAGCAAAATAAATCGAAACCTTAATCACACTATCGAATTTTTGAAGTTACTTCGGTGTATAAAGAGTAGCTCCGTAGGAAACGTTGGCCTTTTTATGTGCTTATAATTTGTTTGATGGAAGATCTCCCCTTTACCTTCCACGACTAAAAGTTCATAATTAATAGATAAAATTATGGATTCGTCAAAATCGTATTAATATCATATTATCAGATGACTGCTGCATGTACCTAACTATAATAGTCCAAAGTCAAGGTTAGTGACGATACTGTTTACAAAAACTATTGATGTTCAAATATATACTTGACCGTTCTGAACGTTTCCTAACTCTTTGTAGGAAACATTAGGAAACAATCTAATTTATAAAATAGTTTAGTTGGTACTTTATACTTTAGTTGGTACTTTTAAAAGCGCAACAACGACATGTCGTTTTCTAAAGAAGCTACTCGTACTTTCTACATTTTCTTTTATATATTTATGACACAAACATCAAGTTCAGAAGCTATGCCATTAGAGTCTAATTCTATCAGAGAGATAGAATTACTTGGAAAATGTGTAGTCGCTGTTGTAAACACCGAAGAGTACAGAAATCCAACAGTTATCTTTATTGGATACGATTTAATATATAGCGTTTCTAAAAATGTACAAAATATGGGAAGCCTTATGAAAGTTCTTTCAGACGAATGCGTGCCGCAGATTATCATAAAAAGTTTGCAACATCTAAATGAAACAGTGAAGAAATTTGAAGGGAATGATATATTAGTTGTTATTTTTGTCAATAAGTGTGAAATTTTGAAACGGTTAGACGTTACAGTTATTGACGCGAAATTGAAATATTTAATTATTATCAATGAAGATGAAAATTGTAATATGGATTTACAAAAATTTGGACGAAAACTTCAACATTATGACGCCACATTTATTTCCCAGTCGGAGAATTATACACTTTATAAATTTCAGACGATTATTCCAGAAATCGATGAAAATACTTGTGACTATAATGTCAAAGTGAAACTTACTACAATTAACACTTGTCTCAATGGAACATTGGACAAATCTGTGATATTTCCTGCTAAAGAAACAAACAATCTGAAGGGATGCCCGTTTAATGTGGGAATGGCTACAATGTATCCATATTCAATCATAGAAAATAAAGAATCCTTACGAAATCTGCAACAAATAAACGAATCTCAAATACATGGATCTGATATTGAAATTATCAAAATTTTTTGTAACAACATTAACGCATCTTTAAACATGTATTATATATACAGAGAAGAAGAAAGTCCATATTTACATACTGAATTTATTTCGTACCTTTTGAACGGCAGCTTAGATGCTTGTGCTGGAGGGCTTTACAGAGTATATGGAGACTCGGTTTCTTATTCAGGTATATATAACATGCAAGCAGTTATTTGGATATATCAGGTAGAAAGAGAACCAAGATCTTGGCGCACAATTGTGGGTAAAATTTATGGATTATACATTTCTGTTCTATTTTATATTTGTTATTCAGTAATTTGGATATTATTCTGTAATTTTGATCGTCTCAATGTATGTTGGAGAAACACCTTTCTATACAGCTGGGGTGCGTTAATAGGGGCAGCTTCTTTACAAGATTCGACAACGTTGAAGCAGAAAATATTAAATATTTCCTATTTGATTCTTTGTATTCACGTGTCGGCATATATTAGCGTGCAATTATATTCTTTTTATACTATCCAAGGACCTCCACAGACATTTAAAACGAACGATGAAGTTATAGAATCAGGTAGAATGCCTTATTTAATTTACGAAACCAAATATTTTGTAGAAGACGCCAAGTACATCGCTTTTGCGAATACCTCACTAAATTGTTCTGGATTTCAAGACTGCGAGTGCAAGACCATTTCTAACCAAGGACTTACCATCACTACTGAAGGATATTTTTACTCTATTCAAGCATTCACTGCTGTTGAAAATGAAGCTCGGTTGCTTAGGGTTCCAGAAAATATAATATTTACTTACCACGAGATGGTTGTTCGAAATGACAGTCCTTTTGTCAGTAAGTTTCGAAATATCGTAACAAGCCTTTTTGAGGCGGGCATTTGTGATAGACTGTACCTAGAAGAAGTTGGTTTATTGATTCATGCAAAAGCTAAGAGTGCCAACGAAAATATTATGGCGAATAGTTACCATTGCGATTCTGGATGTGCCATCACAATAGAACAAATTGCGGGTGCATTATATGTTTGGATTTTTGGTTGTACTCTATCCCTAATCGTGTTTGTAACAGAATTAATAAACTAAGAAAGTCAATCAAAGAATTTAAGTTTTAGTCACCTCGAGTGTGTCAATGATGAACGAAATGTCAATCGAAATATTATTTACGTACTGTAAAATATATAAAAACTGTAAATATATAAATATATAAAATTTGTATGATGTCAGCGTCAAAGTAACATAAAAATGTAATATAAATTTCTTGTTCCTAAATAAATTGCGAAATAAATATATTTTGAACCATATTAAACAAATGTTTTTCCATGCTGACGATACTAACAAAAACAAATAAAATTAATGGACATATGGCCAAAGTTCTCTCTTTAAACTTTATAATAAGTAATACACAAGGCACTTTAAAATAAAACTATGCCATCTTTTTAACAAGTCCATATTGCGGGTCCATACCCCTATTAATATAACTTGATTAGAATGACAGCTGTAATTCTTGGATGAAACATTAAATCGATATACCGATAAAGTATTCATAAATATTAATAAAAAATATTCTACTGTTCTATTTTACTATTCTGCACTAAAACGAACGAAAACAATGGAGTCTCTTCCAAAACATATATTGACGTTTGCGGCTTGTGTATACCCACTAACCGCAAAAGTTCTTTTTTCAACATAGTGCCATCGGCTTGTACTCCAATGGCTTGCTTCATTCTTAGATTATTCGCTGTCGGAGGCTTATGCTTTTGAACTGAAAGACAGGGTGCATTGTCCATTAGTATCACATGGGGTTTATCTAAATTATTTAGCAGTTTTATAAACTATTCTTCTATTTTGTCTAAATTCATCTATTCGTGGTACTCCGTCGTCTTGACAGACTTGAATGCCAGTAAACAATTTGGTACAAATCCACAAGAGGTACCACCACCAGCATGTCAAATTATTAACCTTAGACCTTTGCCCTCAGGTACCTTGGTAGATGATTTCGGTTTATCATCAGTCCAAGTTCTAGTAACCGTGACAACATATATTTTGCATTCAGCCATGTTTCATCCAGTAACATCACTTTATCCCAATTATCAATATCTATCACTTTTCGTAAAAAATCAATTGGTGCAAGTGCAATGTCTTTATGTTCTATTATAATTTTTCTTTTGTTACTCTTTTTATAATATAATACATTCTTTTAAATACTGTTAGTAAAGATGGTAGGCTCCCACTGAACAAATTTGCATCTTTCAGAGAAAATGCTAATTTTGTTAATGTTGGCAGCTCGTACGAGGCTGCCACTCGAGAACCTCCTTTTTCCCCAACGGTTGTCGGTTCTTCGAGCTATATTGCCGGCCCGTTGCCACTTCAGCTTACTAATACGTTGGGCTATGTCGGTCACTTTGGTTCTACTGCGGATATCCTCATTTCTAAGTTTATCACGCAGAGAAACTCAGAGCATAGCCCTCTCGCTCGCTGAGCGACTTTGAGCGTCCTCATACGGCTAGCAGTGAAGGACCACGTCTCGGTTCCGTAGATCATCACTAGCAACACGCACTGGTTGTACAATTTAGTTTTCAGATATTGAGGTATACCTGACGAGAAGATGTGTCGTAATTTCCCGAACGCTGCCCAGCCGAGTTGAATCCGTCGATTGACCTCTCGGTCGAAGTTGGACTTACCTAGTCGTACTATTTGTCCCAGGTAAACGTACTCGTCAACAACTTCGAGCATAGTGCTCCCAACAACTACCGGCATAGGTGTGACATGGACATTAAACATGATTTTTGTTTTGTCCATGTTCATCTTAAGACCTATCCGTTGGGAGGCACCATTGAGGTCATTGAGCATAGTGCTTAAGTCCTCCAGCGATTCTACCGTAAGGACTATATCATCGGCAAATCGAAGGTGAGTGATGTACTCGCCATTGATGTTAATACCGTATCCTTTCCAGTCCAGTAGCTTGAAAACGTCTTCCAATGCAGCGGTGAAGAGTTTCGGGGATATAACGTCACCCTGTCTTACACCTCTCTGCAGTTGGATAGGTTTCGAGCTCTGATTCTGTACTCGGATAACCATCGTAGCCCTACTGTACAAACACTTCCGCACTTCGATATACCGACAGTCAACGTGGCACCGCTGAAGGGACTTTAGCACCGCCCACATTTCGACGGCATCAAAGGCTTTCTCATAGCCCACATACGCCAGACAAAGTGGCAGATTGTACTCTTCGGTCTTCTGTACAATCCGCCGCAGGGTATGTATGTGGTCTATGGTACTGAAGCCTTTTCGGAAACCGGATTGTTCAGGAGGCTGGAAGTCGTCGAGTCTGCGTGCGAGACGATTCGTAATGACTCTCGAAAACAGCACGTAGATACGGCTCAGAAGGGAAATCGGTCTGTAGTTCTTCAAGGGAGCGTTGTCGCCTTTCTTGAAGAACAAGACCACCGCACTTCTACTCTACGACTCCGGCGTAGTGCCACCATGGAGGACGGAATTGAAGAGCCTTTGAAGGACTTCAAGTACCGGTGTTCCACCCGCTTTCAGAAGCTCCGCTGTAATTCCATCCTCGCCTGGGGCCCTGTCGTTTTTAAGGTGCTGGTGAGCCTTTCCAATCTCGCTCAGACTGACGTCCGGGATATCATCGGAATAGTGTCGGGTAAGACTTGCTCTTGGATCGTTACTCACACTTGCGTGTGGCTCCAACGATGATGTGTACAGCTGCCCATAGAACCTCTCAATCTCACTCAAAATCTCAGGTGTCTCGGAAACAATGCTGCCACACTCAGTCTTCAGCTTTGACAGTTGGCTCTTTCTGGCAAACAGATCTCTGGCAAAGACTTTGGAGCCCTGGTTCCGCTCGATCGCTTCTTTAATACGAGCAGTATTAAAGTTACGTAAGTCTCGCCGCATGCATTTGGAGATCTGTCTGTTCAGTTGCCTGTATGCTGTCAAATCTGTTGACGACTGCAGCCTCATCTCCTATTAATAGCCATGAGATTAAGAGTGTGATTGGAGAGTTTTGTGTTCTTCTGCGGCGGGTCTTGCAGAACTTAGCTCCGACCGCATGGACAGTTTCCACGAGCTTGTCATTCATATCGTCCACTGCATTGCAATCTTATAGGCACTGAAAGCGGTTACGTAACTCGAGCTGAAAAGTCTCGGGATTCTCGATTAGAGCACGAGGGGGACGGAGCGTTGACTTCATTAGACGAGACCTCTCCAACTTAACGTTTAGGTTCAGTGTGCCTCTAACCATTCGGTGATCGCTGCTGGTTTTCACCCTTGCGATTACTGAGACATCACTGAACAGTTGGCGTCTGGTCGTCATAATGAAGTCAATCTCATTTTTTCTCGAACCGTCGGGGCTCGACCAGGTCCACTTCCTGTGGGGCCGCTTCTGGAAGAAAGAGTTCATCATAAAGAGTCCCTCTTTCTCCATAAAGTCAGCCAGCTGCTGGCCCCTACGGTTCCGTTACCCCACTCCAAAGTTCCCTAACTTCAGCTCACCGCCTTCTCTTATGCCTAGTTTTGCGTTGAAGTCTCCCATCAACACCGTGTAGTGGGTATTGGAGGAATGCATGGCTCTAGAAATATTCTCATACATTTCCTCCACCTCCTCATCGGGATGTGCCGAGGTTGGTGCGTAGACCTGTATGACCTTCAGCGAATACCGTTTGATGATTCTGAGTATCAGGTACGCGACCCTCGTCGACACACTCCCAATCTTTACAACGTTAGTGACGAGAGACTTGTGGACGATAAATCCGACACCTCCTTGGGACAGATGGTCGCCCTCCCGGTGATAGAACAAGTTGCCGTACTCGAGGATTACCGTGTCCTCCCCCTCTCTTCGGACCTCAGATAATCCAATAATATGCCAGCGCACTTGTCTACTTCTTCTTCCAGCTCCAGTATCTTCTCGTCAGTCCTCAGGGTGCGTGCGTTATACGTTGCCAGGTCGAGTCGTCGTAGGTGGCAACCGAACCTCCACCGGACCATATTATTTATAATCTATACCGAATAAAAAGTTTTTGTTTCTGTTTATCTGCAAAGAAAGTCCACTGCTCGAAATGGGTATAGACAAGATATAGAAAGAATTTTCCATAATCGCAACCAGTGGTGTACCCAGGATTTATTCCTATAGCCGTCACATGACACAAATTACTTATGAAGTACAATTACAAACTTTTTTCATATCATTCGAAAACAATACATGCGACATGAACACGATACTCAATAAATAAGTAGAATGGTAAAAAAATCCAATGAGCTTTTATGGATAAATATTTTCTTTCAAGAGTTATACGAATTTGAAATTGAAAGTTATGGTTCACTTTTCTGCATAGATTTTTAAAATGATACGTTTCTCTTGTCGAATAAAATTTGTGTATATATTAATCGTTAGTACCGCCATTGATGGCTACGCTTAGTACAGGGATGGTGGATTTTAATACTAGACGACTAGCATTTTTGCTACTGTTCCCCGTTAACGTTCGACTCTCGTATGTCTCGTGCGTCTGGATTAAACAGGATGGTTATGCCGCTAAATATTGGATACAATATGTCTAATTGGCATTTTGCATTCATATAACGGTTTTATAGATATCTGTGAAATATTACTAATATACTATTATTACACCATTTAGAAGGCTTTGAACATTCTGAGGTTGGTGCAGCGGTTATTACTTGATTTCCTCCAGACCGAATTTCTGTCTGGGGCCAGTCTTAATGGAAACTTGCTAACTGCGCAAAAGAGGGTTGTAGCGCACGAGTGTATGCGCAAGTTTAGGTCTCTATTGTTTCAAATCACCCTTATAGTTTAACTGCACACCAATTCGACACGACTAGAGAAACATTAATGCTTTCCGAGGCATTAGGTAAGACACCGCTAACTATTCGACTATAGTTGTTCATGAAAATTTGTCGACTGAAGAGTTACTGATTTTTTGCTTAAGACGTTTCCCCTAGCGAAAGACCTTGAGCGTTCGGTCCTATACAATCCACGCGCTCTCGCTACAATATACCGCGTAAGAAATACGCCCGAATATTTGGAATTATTTCAATTAAAAAAGATAAGCGAA